AGGTATAAATATAAATAAATAATCTATGGAAAATCAGAACATTGAGTTTAAAGCATATCTCTAACGGATACAGTCAGTCAGCTGCAACGTAGGACCAGGCACATATATGCATCGGTCCAAGTTGCCATACCTCATTAGCACAACAAGATGAACACCGGATTCATAGAAGTAGTTAATTCAATGGTGGAAATATATAGAAGAAAGATTGCATATATGGAAGTAGTACAGGAAGAAAGAATTAGTTCCTAGAAAGAAAGATATGAAGCGATTTTAATCTCTTAGTTTAAAGGAAGACAGAGAGTGAATACACCGACGCCATTGTGATCGATTCTGAGCCATGTCACCAAGGGTCTCCAACCATTGGTTACGATAGTCACACGGACCCCAACCAAGTAGTCTGCATCTACCAACATGGCTCAGACCAGAAGTTGGTGACTTCAAGCACTGATTCGACGTTTTGGTTTGGCCGCCCCTAACTTTCTTCCAATCATCGTGGTAAACGGTGTTCAGGCATACGCAACACGTGGCCCAACCATCTCAGTCGATGAACATTTATAAGCTCATCAACTGATTTACCATAATTCCCTAATACCCTGCGTCCAACGGATACACTCATGTTTAAAGAATTGCTCTTAGCTATCTGTCCGAAATCCACATAATTGTCACTTCGCGTGTTTAAAAAATTTTTTGATAACCATTCATATGTATTAGTAGTATTACTAAATTCTACCACGTTCAAGTAAAAATGAGGTCGTGAAAATCTCCCCGTAACTAAATAAACCGTATTAAACTAACTGAAACACTAGTTAAAATTCTTCTACACGGTTATACTTTTGTTCTTTCAGTTAGCCTACTAATGCAGATGCAATTGAAATCAACGTATGGACAAATTTCTGATATTAGCGTTATTTGATTTCATAAATTAAACTTAAACTAAAACCAATATTAAAATCTCCACAAAATTGATTGCTTTTAATATTCCTAGACACAAAATACTATCTATAAATTAAGTTTTTATCGAAGGCTATTGTTATTATTATTGTAATACCATTTTTCATAGCCCAAAGTTTCATTTTAAGCGTGTTAAGCACGCAAACAGATATGTTAAAATTATTACATGTATTTCCTTACCAGATGCTGCCGCCTTCTTTTTGATTTATCTTTCACTTCAATACCTGGATGATACTTATTATTATTGGTAACCTCCGGCGCGCGACAATCCCGCACAATTTGGTATCGAACCAACGTCACGTTGATTCTGGTGGAAGAGTAGTGTAGTGGCATTGAGCCCTACCACCAGACAATATGAGAAATAGACATTAAACATTTAACGCGGAGAAATACAGAAGAATGGAAAAGGCGGAGAGAATGGATTGAATTAATCGGAGTTGGTCGTATGGCATGGCTCGGCCATGCAGGCGTGGTCCCTGCTAAATGTTACATTATGTCTTTTATTCACATTAAATATATTGTTCCATCTCTAGCCTAAGATTGTTCTCTATCATGTATTGGTAATTGTTACGACGCAGTAAGTTGGTGTAGATGATGATGTGATTTCCACGTAAGATCTTATAGATTAGGCAGTTACATCATAACAAATCTACAATTTTACGATCAGGTCTATTATTAGAACAGTGCTAATATCATAGTAGACCATAGTTCTACATCCAAATCCTTTTGGAGTGTAGGAGGGGATACTATGTTTCCGTACTCTAAATGGGGTGGTTTGATACCCAATTGTCTGAGCTTATTGATAAGACATATGTGGTTAACCTCATCAAAAGCTTTAGAGAAATAAACGTAAATGATGTCCACTTTCCCCTAGCGATCAACGGTGCTTGTCCATCTGTCCACCACAGTCAGCAGGTTCGTCATACAGGAGTAATCCTTCCTAAAACCATGCTGTTGGGGTGAGAAGAAATTTAAGGACACTAGATGGTCGTGTATACCATCGTACACCACGGACTCCATGATTTTTGAAGGTATGGAGAGAAGAGCCACTGGTCGTTAACTTGAAGGTTCGCTGCGTCGACCTCCCTTGAATATTGGTGTGATATGAGCCAGCTTCCAAATATCCGGTAGTTTGCCTTGACTTAGCGAGTGTGAGAACATCACGCTAAGCAGTGTTGCCAGGATTGAAGCTGCTTCTCTCAGTATAGCAGAGTGGACCATATCTGTGCCGGGAGAAGTGTCTGTTCCTAGGTGCTGCAGTTTTCGGGACACCAAGTCAGCGCTCAGTTTCACTACGGGAAGTCCTGTGCAGTTGCAGATAGAGCCGTCATCTGTATATTTGATGTGGGACGGTTGAAATGTCCGGGAGTATTGCTCAGCCACGAGGTTAGCGGCGTCACCGTCATTATCGGTCGGGCCTTTAGGACCTAGCAGTTGAGAAACCCCAGTTTTGGCTTGATGAAGAGAGGCTGCATAACAGGATAAGCTTTTCGGATTGGAAATAAATTTATCCATAAGCTTTATCTTGTACTGAAGCCAATCTTCTCTTATAGCCTTCGTGCATATGTTCCTTATATGTTCGTATTGCCTGTTTGTGCCGTTGTTATCTGTTCGTTTGTATTCTGCCCAACTGTGTTTTTTGCGGCTTAGCAGGCGAAGAGTGCGATTTTTGACTATTATAGTTTTCATGTGGCTATTGTGACTATTGTAGGTTGCTTGCGGCTTTGTGGCACATAAGAACGTGTGCAGAAAGAAGTCACAATGAGCATCCACGTCAGGTTGATGGTGAACATCCCAATCCATTGTTTCAGATAGTCCTGTAGAGCCGACACATTCAACCGTTTGAAATTCCAGCGCCTGTTGTTGTTGGGATATCTTAGCTCGGTTACTCCACCTCCAATTCCTGTTTTTCTGTCGTTGCGAAACAGAGACATCTCGGGTATTGCTAGCTCCTGGTCCGAATACTGAGATATCCAATTTTAGATATTCCCATCGGATGGACCTTATTCGCGTTGCTAAGTTCGCCTAGTTCATCCATTTTATTTGGTAGAATCGTGGCGTTCATGTATAAGCAGTTAATGCTTTCGATTTGAAACGCGTGAGCTTCTTCCTGTTTGTCTGTGAGAGCCTTACGTGAGTGGACAGGTAACTCACCTATACAAGTTTTGTCGAATTGGTAGGCCCTGTCCTTTACACGTTTTTTTATCAGGACAGTCCACAAGTGAAATGGTCAGCTCCAACTTGCCCTTGTGCTTGATTCTGGCGTCATGTGGCCTGTTCGGGTGCATATGGATTCCAGTTGGCAACCGACGTTTGTTGGCACAAGATGCTTCCAGAGTTGCAGCCGCCATATAGGAGGATGGGAAAGTTATCCTCATTAGCCGGGGTCTACAATCACCGTCCTTCTTGGCTAGTCTCGTCACATGTTGAGTCAGTATGTTTTTGAGCCCCAAGGACTGTTCGATGAATTTCCATTCCCGAATATCAGAGTTTGCTTGAGTAGGGTCCATGTTTTCCGGTACACTTTGCACAATGATATTTCTTCCGCGGAAAAACTTCTCTCAAGAATCTTTAGGGATGTTCCGGATGAGATTGCGCTCAGAATGCGGTATGTCAGTCAGTATTCTTACGTTCCCATCGGACTAGTTAGCAGGACACCCTCTACGTCGGTAGCATTCTTGAGTGTTACACGAAGTAGCCTCGAATGATTTTGATGCTTAGATTCCTTCCCCTGAGTGAGCCGTGTGACCGTCAAATGCTCTATTCTGGGAAGTTCGAGCTTTTTGTTCAGTTCACCCCAGAGCATCCTGTCGTTTTTGTCTTGCAAACTGAGAGGAAGGTCAGGATTATCTATGAGGTTCATGATTATGAGAGAGTCGCCACGGACCGTTATTGATTTCCCAGGTTTTCCGGTGCGTTCGGGTTCATCACCTTATTGTTTGGAGGTCGAAGCACGTTTCTGAATCCTAGGCTCTTTGATGACCGGATGGACATTCTTTGGGGTAGACTGGGCGATCAAATCACCAGTTTATTTCCGTACAACAGCTAAGACGGTGACGCCTGGTCCTTTTCAGCTCAGTTACCGTGGGTCCAATCACCCACAGAGATTTCGGGAACCACTGTTGCATTTAAGGACCCTGAACTGGGAGACCCGAGTTTACTGAGGGAGTCTATTACCGTCAACGTAATGACGGTGCTGAGTTTCAACATGTCATCATTAGTGCTAATGCATGCTCCGTCTATGGTAGACCTGTCGACATCCCTATTCATGTTTTCGTTGTGCGCCCTTGTTTGTCTACCCGTTTTATGACCGTCTTTTTCCAAGGTTGTTGACAACTTGTTCAGCAGACCTGTCAATAGGACAATGATGTTACTCAGCAAAACTGCAGCATTCGTGCTGCACGTAACACATACCCACTTACGATCCCACTTGCTGAGTCTGTTGTAAGCAGTTGCTGTGAGGCCTGCGCACGCTTCATGGAACCAACCTTTGCAGTTGTCGCATTGCATGCCAGATGTAACAGCAAAAACGGCATCCAGGTAGTTTGCATGAATTTTCCATGACTATATTGACATAAACTGTATTATTAATGCTAGCAAAAGCCGAAAACCGCACAAACACACTGAAAAACACACTAAAAACTGGCAAAATGGATAAAAACGGATTAGATAAACTGAACTAGCCTTTACGTGAAAAACTGAAAAAAGCGAATAGTAAGCTGAGGCAAAACCACAGATAACTATTAAATTGTGTGAGACTCGAAAAAAAGTAATCTAACAAACTTATAGGTCAGAATAGATTTTTTAGATAAGAAATGGTACTTTTGATGCGTGAGAATACAGCAAGAGTTTGAGAAATGCAAATCACGTTGGTACTAAACTTTACATTCGAAAAGTGTTCACATCAGTTAAATTACTCATGGAAATACTAAGGACTCACAAAGGACAAACAGTAATGGACCAACGTAAGCATTCGGCGTACTGCCTTTACTATGCAAATGTGAAATCTGATATACATACATCGTGATCTATTGACGGGATGTTGGGTCAAGGTCGTGTGGTAGGTTTGAGTTTGTAGCAAATCGATCTAACAGTTGTACTTCCCGTAGTGTTTTAGTGTATTTGGAGGTTAGGTACGTTTCTTTACCCTCAGATTTTCTGGAAAGTTGGGTTCAGTCTTCTGCGAATTACGACTGGGTTCAGTTTACACATGATGTTATCTTATCGGAACTGTTCAGGTCTGTGCTCGAGCTACGCTTAACGATCTGAGTGTTTGATATTAACTTACTGTTCCGTGCTGCAATCATCCTTGTCTTATTTACAGTAATGTAATACTGTGCACATCAGTTGTGAGAGATTGTTCTGTAGTATCGAGGGAGTATTAAGTGGAAAACATAAATTTGAACGTTAGAACGATTAAAAGTCACTAATTGTGGGTACCTTCAGTCGGATGTTTAACCAATAATTTGTCGTACCTAGTTTCAGTCTATGTGTCTAGGGTGTATTGGAAGAGTGCCTCTAACGTATTCCTTGGGACATAACCGTGCTGCTGTATTGTTAAAACGGATTTGACAGTTGATAACCCTCGTCATTGAGTGTTGACTATTGCATAACGGACCTATGTAAGGGATTTCTCATTAACATGCTTTGTAACTAGCTAGACTTTGAAAACAGTTACCTAGCATCCAGGTGTACGTAAATTGGAACGTTAAAGTACCTTTCTCGAATTTGCCAACTCACTAGTTACCACTGTTTTTTTGACCTGGATCTTGTGTCATTGATCTTTTTAAATAAATTACGACAGAAATAACTGAAGATATTGCCTGCTTCAGTTTGGTACCCGGACAGTGTCATAGCCCACAGACAAATCAATGATAATTGCTACTACATTGTTGTGTGGCGTATACATATCTGGTGCCCCTGTGTACTGAGGTTTATACGTTCAAGTACATAAGTAACGTCATGTGTCTGGAGCTAGTTAGTTGACAGTTAAACTTTAGGGTAATATCGTAATAATACTTGATATCTAACCAAATGATGAGCTCACAAACAGCGTTGATTAAAAAACAAGACGGCAGGTCCTACTTAGCTCAATGTTGGTGCATTAGGTAACTTTTAAACCATTAGCATATAATGTCAAGGTTTCAAACATTCGCAACTTTATAATAACAAAACTTTTGCTGTTTGAAAGCTACTGTCAAATTAAAGCAGATAAGGTTGGGCTTGGACATACAACTTTTTGTTCGAAATAATTTCATTTAACCACTAAGTCAGTCAGTCAGTAACAACGTGGAACTTCGTACGTACGTACATCAGTTCGAGTTGCCATACCACATTAGCACAGAGATTCAGTTATCGATTCAAATCCCGTAGTAGTAGAGGTAGTGATAGGGAACATTAGGGTTTGATGATGTTATTAAAGGAGTATAGTCCAGTGGAATAAATTGGGAAAGAAAATAAAGAACATGAAGAATTCAGAAGATTAGAGTTTGAGAGAACACAAAGAGTGGATGCACCTGCACCATTGCAAACGATTTTGAGCCATGTCACTCAAGGTCTCTAACCATCGGTTGCTATCGTCTCGCGGTCCCCAACCAGGTAGTCTACACCTACCAACATGACTCAGTCCACTTGTCAGTGACTTCATGGATTTGTGCCATGTTTTGGTCTGGCCACCCCTACCTTTCTTCCAACCTACTCCTACACCATAAAACATCGCACATCGGGGCAGTCGGTGGTCGGGCATACGCAACACATGTCCCAGCCATCTCAACTGATTAAGTTTCACTACTTCATCAATTGATTTGCCATCCTTACCTAGTATCCGTTTCATAACAATTGAGTTACTTACTCGGTGGTCCCAGGATATACGAGCAATGTTTCGAAGACATCTATGATCGAATACTAGTAACCTACGAATATCCTCTACTCTTACCGGCCATGTTTCACTGCCATAAAATAGGACGGAACGAGCTGCTGTGCAGTAAACACGTCCTTTGGTTGATAGACGGATATCTCGCCTACGCCACAAATGACGCAAGTTGGCAAAAGCTAGTTGAGCCTTTTGTATCCGTGCTGAGATTTCGTCACACACCAAACCACAAGGGCTGATGAGACTTCCGAGATAAGTGAAGCGGTCGACACGCTCAACTACTTCACTCCCTATCACTAGTTCGGGTGGTGGTGTGACCCAATCCTGAAGTAACATTTTGCATTTCGAGGGAGAGAATCGCATGCCGAACAGGCTTGCATTGTTGCTTAGAGTGATCATCAGACTGTATTTTGTCAGCGTCTTCACCAAGTAGAACTATGTTATCGGCATACTTTAAGTCAACAAGTGAATCTTTCGGTAGAAGTTCAACCCATGGAAAGTGTTATCTCTAAAAGCACGTCAACGACAAAGTTAAACAAGAATGGAGAGAGTGGACAGCCCTGACGAACACCACTTGAGGTAATCAGTTCTGAAGACAGTTTGCCATAAGCTCTCACTCGACCAGTTGTGTTCGAGTAGAGAGCCTTTATAAGGTTGACGTACTTCTTTGGTACTCCTTTCAGTGACAAACACTCCCATAGAACCTCACGATCAACAGAGTCAAATGCCGCCTTAAGGTCGAGAAATACTATCATTGTGGGGCGTCTGAATGTATGTCTATGTTCTAGGATCTGATGTAGTGTGAAACACCGACTTCGGTGGCTTGGACATGTTCTACGAATGTCGTCCCAGAGAATTCCTCGTCGTGCATTATTTGCCGACTCTGGGACTGGTTGGAAAAAGCGGAGAGGTGGTCAGTATATGACATGGTGTCGTGGTATGAAAGAAAGCTGCAAAGGGCTAGCTTATGTTGGTCCTTCACGACTCCCTGGTTGGGGTCCGAGAGATGGTGTAACGCAGTGGCTAGAGACGTTATCAGATATGGCTCAGAATAGAAGCCAGTGGCGATCCTGCTGTAACCTTCTTTTACTTTCTTCATAAAAAGGTGGTCGTATTCTTCCTTAACTGAAAGATCTGTTCTGATTGTACCTTTCCGTTTCCCCCACCATTGTTCTCTCTCTCTCTCTTCTTTTTTTTTTATAATTCCCCACGTTCATTACTTTTTTTTTTTTTTTTCTTCTCTTTTCTCCTTCTCTTCTAATTATCACTGTTTTGTGTGGCGCATATATATTTGGTGCCCCCCTGTACCAATATTTATGTGTTCAAATAAATAAATAAATATTCGTAGTGTGAATATTTGATCTATACAACCACGTGCAGGTCGGAAACCAGCCTGGTTTTCTATAGTCTGTTCTTCACGAGCTTTGGTTAGACGTCGAAGTATTATTGAAGCTAATATTTTAGACACTATATTAGTCAAACTAATTCCTCTGTGATTGTCACAGGAGGACTTTTGTCCTTTCTTATAGACTGGTACAATCAGTGATTGAGACCAGTCAGATGGGATTACGTCCAGTTCCCAGATTCTACCTAAGACCTCAGTCAATCTCGCTGCTAATACTGGACCGCCATCCTTAAAAATCTCAGGGGTAAACCTGTGAGGGCCTGCTGCTCTCCCACGCTTCAGATTTCCTATAGCTTTTTCAACTTCGTAAAGAGTCGGAGGACTTACATCAACTTGCCATTCAGGTCGACTGGGGATCGTGGGAAACCGAAGTGTGGCTGAAGGCCAGTTGAACTGATCCCTAAAGTGTTCTGCCCATTGATCCAATCTCCTGGATTGAGAATGAATAATATGTCCATCTTTCTCTGCGATTGTTTCGCTAACAGTTGGGTTCCTAATACCGGTTTCCTTAACAAGTCTGAACAGTTGCCTGCTGTTACCTATTGCCGCTGCCTTTTCCATCTCTCTTGCTTTCGCTACCCACCACTGTTCACGATCTTTGCGTAGGCTTCTAGTCAGCTTACGCTTAAGCTGACTCCGCTCTTCGTTATGTTCAGAGCCAGATGGAATGAGTTTTCGAGCATCTATCAGTGCGGTAGATGCTGCTGAGATCCAGTGTTTCTCCCTAACCTTATGGTTTACCGTACTTGCAGACATCACTGCTGTTTCTACAGCTTTTCGGATGTCATTCCATGCTGCCTCGGGGTGGGTATCACTTACATGGCTGCCTAACTGTTTTTCTAGATGTTCCTGAAATAGACTCTTAGCTTGACTATCATTTAGTAGGACCCTAAGGGGTTTCCTTGCAGCATGTTTCCTACGTCCAGTAAGACGTAGACAAATACGCGCTCGCACTAGAGCATGATCTGAGTCTAAGCATGTGCTCCAGAATGAGCGACAGTCTTCTATCGAACCCCTCCATCGGTGGCTGATAGCGATGTGATCTATTGCAAAAGCTAGTCGAGCCTTCTGTATCCGTGCTGAGATTTCGTCACACACCAGGCCACAAGGGCTGATGAGACTTCCAATATAAGTGAAGCGGTCGACACGCTCAACTACTTCACTCCCTATCACTAGTTCGGGTGGTGGTGTGACCCAATCCTGAAGTAACATTTTGCATTTCGAGGGAGAGAATCGCATGCCGAACAGGCTTGCATTGTTGCTTAGAGTGATCATCAGACTCTGTATTTTGTCAGCGTCTTCACCAAGTAGAACTATGTTATCGGCATACTTTAAGTCAACAAGTGAATCTTTCGGTAGAAGTTCAACCCATGGAAAGTGTTATCTCTAAAAGCACGTCAACGACAAAGTTAAACAAGAATGGAGAGAGTGGACAGCCCTGACGAACACCACTTGAGGTAATCAGTTCTGAAGACAGTTTGCCATAAGCTCTCACTCGACCAGTTGTGTTCGAGTAGAGAGCCTTTATAAGGTTGACGTACTTCTTTGGTACTCCTTTCAGTGACAAACACTCCCATAGAACCTCACGATCAACAGAGTCAAATGCCGCCTTAAGGTCGAGAAATACTATCATTGTGGGGCGTCTGAATGTATGTCTATGTTCTAGGATCTGATGTAGTGTGAATATTTGATCTATACAACCACGTGCAGGTCGGAAACCAGCCTGGTTTTCTATAGTCTGTTCTTCACGAGCTTTGGTTAGACGTCGAAGTATTATTGAAGCTAGTATTTTAGACACTGTATTAGTCAAACTAATTCCTCTGTGATTGTCACAGGAGGACTTTTGTCCTTTCTTA